TTATTTTGTAGCAACCCGATCTGGATAATGGGTCAACTTTCTCTCTAAAAGTGGGCATAACTGAAGAAACTGTAGTAGTTTCCCTGAAGGTCGTTTTTCTTCCCCACTTCCTTACTTGTTCACCTATCCTTTTAGAGAGAATGCACAAAAGTAAAGACAAAACATGAGAAAACGTCTCCTCACCTCTTCTTACGTATTCACAATTCAAAAAGCTATTCTTTATCAATCTAACGTTATTTTCAATCGAGCCTAGGGGATAATTATTCTCAATAAATATTATTTTAAACTATCCTTGCTATGCTGCCTTATGGCAAAGTAGTCATCCATATATCTAACTAACAGTTTGTGTGTCAATCTTACCTCTTCCATGAAGTGTTTATCCGTTCTTGACATGCAATTATTAGATAAAATGGGAGTCAAGAAAGATCCCATTGCTAGGCCTTAACCTGTTCATAAACTTTATCATTAAAGGTAAAGTATGTGCTCCTCATGGATAGATTAAGAAGCCTTAAGATTGAGCTTTTGCTCAGATTTGCTTCCCCAATAATTTCTGGGTGCTCATCTAGGCTGAGTGTTAGTGCTTTAATAGCTTTATGAACTGGGATGTTAGTATACATTAATAAAACATCAAGACTAACAAAAAGATCCTTCTCTTTAATACTCTTTTGATCTATTAATCTGGCAGATTTATATGAATTCGTCACTGAATATTTCTAATACAGCCAATTTCCTAAGAAACGTGAACTCCTTTGCATCAAAGTTCCCTTTATATTAACAATTAATCTTAAAGGGACTCCTTCCTTGTATATTTTTGGAAGGCCGTAAGCCGAAGGTGCCCTAGCATCCCTCTGAAGAAGTGAATTTATTTTCTACTTCTTAATTTTTCCTCTCCTTATACAAACGTTAAACGATTCCCTAAGTCTGGCCTTAAGACTTTCTGTGAGATCCTTTACTAAAAGTCTGTAAGTTTCTGAGTCATTTAAATGAACCATCAAGTTTTCTATATAACTTAACTTATCCTTGATGACCACAGCACCACAAACAGATAATTTTGGTGCAAATATCTAGAAATCTTATTCAATTCATAAGATTTCTTGGGATAATTACTTCATCAAAATAAGAAATCACTTTCTATACTATTCCTAGCCTCTTCTCGCAGCTTGTCCGTTAAGTTAATTAGCTCAACCAGTGGCCTGATTTACTGCTATCTTCACACCTGCCAGCTTGCCCTTATTCAACCATTGTCCATTCGCAAACTACTGGAGCTGGCCTTCGCCCTGCGTCCTTCGCGCCGTCTCATCGCCGCTCGACCTGCATTGACACCACTTTGTTCTCAATCCAGTATCTCGACACTTGACTCCAATCGGCTAGTTGAACATGGACTGACTATTTTCGCCTCTAAAGCTGACATGCTTTGGGATTACTTCACTTTGCGAGTGATCGCCGACAGCTCAGATAATGAAGCAAAAAGCGACATATACCTAGCCGGCGTCCCACTTCTGCTGAACAGGTTTGTATCTACATCACTTATTTTTGAGCCCCCCGCTTATCAAATACAACTAAAATATGTCACACTAAGTCGTAAGCTTTGACATTAACAAACTTTTGGACATTAACATATCGCCCAAAATGCATATAGAGTAAATTAAAGTCGTGGGCTACCATTTATCGTTAATATTAAAGTCTCAAATGGAATTAACTAGGCGGCCTGCGAAGTCTAGCAATTAGGCATTTAATCTGGAATATAAAATGCTCGCTCCTCCAAGTGGCATTTCATCTGAAATTATCAATTTAGGACGATTATCGGCACATTTCTTGCATACGTGTTCAATAGAGATGTGCAAACTATTTTAAACACATCAATCCATGACTAATTAGGAGGTTTTGCAATTCAAGCTAATAATTGATTTAAGAGGACAAACAACATACTATGTTGTTGCATTTGTGAGAATAAAGTCCAGGGTTATGCCTTATCTATCCTGTATTTTCAATACTTTTTATGCTTTTCTAGATAAAGCAAAGCATGCAGAGACGGATAAAGTTGAGTTTTTCCGCAGTTTTAGAGCTACCTTTATCAAAAACTCTAGCTATCATGTTGCCTTCTAAATATTCGTACAGGGAGAATTAATAGTATTAGAAAATCTATCGATTTAAGCTTGATATAAAATGCTTGGACATAACCTAGTTTCTAAACAGTTTAACTTCGCTTTGCAACTTGGTCTTGTCGTTTGAGCGACACATTAGGCCATTGACTAGCCTCTGGGACCTCCTTACCTCTTCTCACAATCGCCGGCGTCATCCTCTCTGTCCACCTGCTTCCATGATTTATAAATCTGTCACATAAGTTGCACTACTGGCCCGGGGGTAACTGCCATCCTTCATTTCTATTTGTTGTTGGCTTACGAGGTTCATTCCGACAAAGGGACGCGGTCCATAAGGCATCCATAATCTCTTTGTTTCGTGGAGAACTGGCTAAGTTTTGTCTGTTATGTCACTTTATAGGCAGGCATCTTTAGGGCAGGATCTCATTCTTATAAGTGTTTTTAATGGCATCAATACTTCGGCTCTGCTCTATATGCTATATATACTGACAACAAAACAAACGCAGCTAATTAAAAGGAAATATAAAATGATTTATTCAAGGGTCTTTCATTT